AGAGGTGACATCACTGTAATTAGAGCCGGATCAGTGCAACAAAATAAACCTCCAAATGTCTGTAGGTTTTCTTGCTGAGAAAGGATCACATATCTACAAAAAAAGGCAGAAGAAAACGGATTGTTTATTTTTGCTCCACTAGTATTTACACACAAGAAACCCCTACYTACTCTAAATCCAACCATTTATAGGAAAAAAAAACCCTCATTTTTAAAGATAACTGAGTTTGTGGAATTCCTGTGTGGATTCTTCAGTTTAAAGAGGATCTCAGTGCTGTTTTGGTTGTAAATATGCAAAAGAGCCAATAAATAACAGGGTGCYAACTCATTTAAAACTTTAAAGGGCCTGTGACATGCTTATCCTTCAAATACAAAAAGTCAAAGAAAACATATTTATATCTAAGAAAATTTGCATAATACACATGATTTTACCCATTTTATCTCAAAACTGGACTATTTTCTCTTGAATTTGGCTCAGCAAAGAGAAACAGGCTGTGACATGCTTATCCTTCAAATACAAAAAGTCAAAGAAAACATATTTATATCTAAGRAAATTTGCATAATACACATGATTTTACCCATTTTGTCTCATAATTGGCATATTTCCTTTTGAATTTGGTCCAGCAAAGTGAAACAGGAAGTGACATCAAAGGGGAACTCTTTAAGAAAATAACCTCTCTAGTCTTTGTTCTATGAAACAATTTTATTTAAACTCTTCTTCAACTYTGATAGTGACTCAAAATAATCTAAAGAAACATCAGAGTCTTCTCTAATTATTGTGGCATCGCTCTGTTTACATGCAGACATYCCCCTTTGACATCACTTCCTGTTTCTTCACGTGCAAATATCTCAACAACTATTCATCTCAACGGCGTGAAATTTGTTTTGCAATATGTTATCAATGTTCTCTTTCCAAAAAAGCATTCATATTTATTACAAAAATTTGATGTCACAGGCACTTTAAAAGTAAGTTAAATAAATTTTAAATCAATGCAAAAAACAAACAGGCAGCCAGTGTAGGTCAGCTAACACAGGAGTGATGTGGTCACGACTTCYGGTTCCTGTTAGAAGACGTGCAGCAGCGTTCTGGACTAACTGCAGACAACTGCTCCAAACCAACATAAAAAGAGTCACAGTAATCCAGTGGTGATGAAGGCATGTATAAGAGTTTCAAGGTCTTTTGGGGGAATGTAAGATTTTACTTTGGCATTAAGACATAACTGATAAAAAAATTAAGATGTTTTCTCAAATTTAAAAACACCATCCAAAAACACTTCGAAGTTCTTGACCACAAAGTAATAATATGGAGCAAGTGGGACAAGAATCTCAGCAAACTTATCGAGAGGAAAACGATTACCAAGTAAAATAACTTCATTCTTGTCTTCATTCAAAGTCAGACAGTTCTGAGATAACCAGTCTTTGACGACTTGGAGCACAGACATCTGGTTTAAAAGGAAAATAAGTTWGAATAAGTAATGAAAAAATATGAGGTGCATTTTAATTATTGATCCTGAGAAATTTTTGGTTGACATAAAGCATATCACATGTTCATAAATATATTACCAGTGAGTATTTGATTTAAAAACTATGGCTGTGTCCAAATTCAGGGGCTGCATCCTTTGAARGACCCGGCCTACCCAGTCTAGGTGGACTGGGTTTTTGGACGATTACAAAGACTGGAAAAAGTGGCTGTGAATTTAGACGGTCTAGCCTTCAGCTTTATTCCTACACTTACCCGGCACATGTCGCCTATCTACCGTGACAATGCTAAACAGAAGCAAAAATAGATTGAAATTAACATATTATCAAAATATTAATATTAATATTAGAAATAAAATTAGCTTTTAAGAATGATAAAAACATGCAGATTTATTTTTGCCATATTAGCTCATTTGATTTCTGACAAGAACAATATTTTAAAAAATGTCTATGCATTAATAGCACAACAGTTCAATTTATATACAGACAGATTTAAAAAAAAACTGCACTGCTTTCTCTCACTCCGTCCACCGTTACAAGCAAAACGGCTAACAAATTCAGCCATCAGAAGACACAGCCCCTGAATTTGGAGACAGCCTATATAACTACAGTATCTATATGTTGATGTCAGACATATTTACTGCATGTACTTTAAAAAAACACAACCAAAAAGCTATTTAAAAAGTGCTCTTTCAACACAAAGAGTCAGTTTGATCTAAAATTGTAAAATTTGATGATTGTGTCGCCGGCTGTGACCCACAGATAGGAGGAGGAGGAGGGTCGCTGTGCTCATTAATATTGATACTAAACAGGGTGTGCAGTTTTGTTTCCAYTGAGCAGCCAGATTGTTAAACTTCAGGCTGCTGGCAAACAGCCCACGTTTCCTCTGCCGAGCAAATCTGCTCAAAATTACAGAAGGGAGACACCTGTCAGTGCGCTGCGCCGAAATGGTCGAGCTCGTTACGTCTCTGACCCCATCCTCCATGTCATGACAGGTGTGTTCATGATTCAGAACACCTGTCAAGATTTCTCTGCCCTGATCGGCCCCACGAAGCTGATTTTTCCTGTGATTTAGAGCTGCTTTGAATGATGGGAGACGTTTTGGACGTGTTCTCTGGCTGAGAGTTAAAATCTGTAAAATCAGCTCTCACCGATAAGTCTTGTCTCTTTTATTTATTTTTTTAATCGAAGTGCTCGACTATAAGGCGGCTTTGTTGTTTCTTGTTCCTTAAAGAGACAAGAAACCTTTTATTTGAAAGGTTTCTTCACTTCTGGTTCCAACTGAGGTGAATCCATGTGGAACCAAAGAAACGTTTCAGATGAGAGAAAACAAGTCTGTTGCTTTGATTCYGACATGTTTGACCTCTCTGTATCTCCACCAACACGTTGCTAATTTTGGAGCTAAAACAGGAAGTAGCTTTTCTCCACATTTGTGTTTGAACCTGACAGATTAGAGGCAACATGTTCATCACATACAAAGTGTTTTTAGATGTAATATTTATTTAATATACTGTATTACCTGTTAACTCTTCATAATTTGTATTTTCTATTCTGCCTCTGGTTTGTTAGACTTTGTTGTTTCTGAAACTGAATCCTTTTTTGCTTGTTATACAAGTTTTCTTGTTCWGAGACATAAACGGTGGACTCTTATCTCCCAGCGGACTGGTGTGAGTGTGGATGCTTGTTCCTCTGTGGCGATGAAGAGGAGACATGTTCAAGGTTGACCTGAGACAGCTGATGGGCTTCAGCCCTCTGTGACCYTGAACAGAGCAGGGCAGATTTACAGAAAGGATGGATGGACTCTGAAGTGAAGGAGAGTCCACATAAAATATAAATCATTCTCAGGTTTATGAGGATTTTTTTTTTTGTTCTTTCATTTAAAGATTTAGCTCAAGACTGCACCTCAGTAACTTCTGTTTAATCCTTTTGCAGTGCTGTAAAACATCTGTCTGTAAATTCAGCTGTGCTGCTTCATCGCTGTGTTCTTGTTAATTTATGTATCAGTGCAGGAAACAGTAAACTATGTTATACATTAGTGCTGGAAGTAGGGGTGCTGCAGGCGCTGTAGTGGCTAAAAGATACTGTAACTTAACCGTAACTTAACGCAACCGCAGCAAAAAAACATAATGCTAAGATACAATAAAGAATGTGGTGGTCTAGATGTGGTTTGCCAGAGGTGGTCCATGCATGGGCCAGCACTGCAAAAAGTACACAACTGGGCCAGTAGTGGAATGCCATCTTAAAAACAGTGCAGTCATTGCCAGATCTGGTCCACGTCCAACTTGTCATGCCAGCAGTCAGCCTGCAGGGCTCTCCCAGACCTGTCAGCGATGTGGGTCCCATGAGCCATTGCTTCAACAGTAAAGCATTCATTTATGGCAGGAATGTCAAACTTATTTTCACCTAGGACCACATGAGCATACAATCAAAGGGCCAATTGTAATTAACATTGACGTTTCATATTTAACTTCAGCTAAACATAAAACGTCACGCTCCTCTTCTCATTGCTATGGCTGAGCACCGCTAACAAAAAATATCTGAGCTCTATGTGGAGAGGTGCTCGAGTTTAAAACTACGACTTGTAGGCAGAAAACTCCCGCCACCTAGCACAACTGGGCTGCAGCAAAAGTAGCCGGCAAAAATGCAGTGAATAGGAGATTTCTATGGTGAATTTCGCTGAGTACCAGCTACTTTTGAACCCTGTGCAGTGGTGAGATTATGTCATTTTTCATTTAAAGTAAAACATTGTATCATGGGGGATGTGGTATATGGTCAATGCTGGCTTTAAAGCCACATACGTTTATTTTAAGACTGCTTGAGTTCGACACAAGATTTGTGGGCTGGTTTATGATCTTTTATTTATTTATTTATGTTGCCATGTGGCAACTATTTAGGCAGATAATTGTAGATTTTGTTCTGTAGTTTCTAAATTAGTGTTGCTGAGAATGTTGCTTTAGTTCTGATAAAAAAAAAGATAAATGGCTTAAACTTGTACAGCGCTTTATCAAGTTCCCACAGACTCCAAAGCACTTCACATTTAAATCATTCCCTCATTCACACACACAGATGATGGTAAGCTACATTGTAGCCACAGCTGCCCTGGAGCAGACAGACAGAGGCGAGGCTATGCACCGGCGCCCCCCGGACCCTCTGACCACCACCAGCAGGCAAGGGGGGTGAAGCGTCTTGCCCACAGACATTATTTGCCACCAAAATAAAAGCTCTTTAAGCATTGAGTTATACTCTAATGATGAACATATAAGAGGATTGCTAACCTACGTTTGACTTTGCCATTGCTAAAAATATATTCTAGATAAAAATTATGTAGAACATTTCTTTGCTTTGTTGCACAGACAGACAGTTAATCATTTAACTTCCAGCTCCACTTTGTTGCATCAGACATTAACTGTTTTACCTAAAATGATGACACATTCCTGTCAACAACTTTGTGGAACTTGTTTCATGACTGTCTGTAATTAATGTTTTTTTTTTCCTGTCTTCTCTCTTCTCCTTTGATCGCAGCGCTCCAAAATAGCAGTTTATGAGAAAATGTGGTCGTACATGAAATCGGCCGAGCCCTCGGTGTTTGTCAAGACCACGCCAGACGGGGTTTCCCGGGTGCGAAAGTCGAAGGGCAAGTTTGCCTTTCTCCTGGAGTCCACCATGAACGAGTACATTGAGCAGCGGAAGCCGTGCGACACCATGAAAGTGGGCGGGAACCTGGACTCTAAAGGCTACGGAGTGGCCACACCGAAAGGCTCAGCATTAAGGTGGGTGGGATAATATAACAATAACCTCCATGTTGTTATAGTATTCCACCTACCCTGATGTTGCCTTTTGTCATTCTCTACTTCCTCACTCTTTAATTCTTCTTTTTTTGTTTTTATTTCCAAGTGCATTTCTAGGTGAACAGTATTATGGGTTATCTGAATTGCAGCACACTTTTTGTTTTGTTCTGTCTTGTTCCGTCTCTGTTTTCTTTATGTTCTTTTCTCGTATTTCCTTGAAGTTTCTGGTGTCTGACCACATACATCCATTTGAATGTCAGCGTGCACTTCCTCCTCCCTGATTGTCTGTTTTTTTTTCTTTGTACTCCTTCCTCTTGTTCTCTGTGGCGCCCTTTTTTCTTTTCTGCATTACCTCTGAAAACTTGACTTAATTTGCTAGTTAAATGCTGCTCTGTCACTTGTGATGAATGTAAAGCTGCATGCTGGATGTTCTATTCTCTAATTCAACAATGACAGAATGTCCCCTTCCCGCACACTTCAGTTACGAGCAAATTTAATCTCCATGCCACCTCTTGACTATTTAACGTTTTCTTTGCTGTAAAATTTCTTTTTTTTATCCTTTCAAATTGTCCCCACCCCCTCACCCCGTGCTACCCTTCTATGAACCATTGTTCTCTATCACTATTTCTCACTAATATTTGATTATTAGATTTCTCACGGACCTGTTCCTTTTCTTACAAGCTATGTTTTATCGTTTCAAGAAATGCTGTTAACCTGGCAGTGTTAAAACTGAATGAGCAAGGCCTCTTGGACAAATTGAAAAACAAATGGTGGTACGACAAGGGAGAGTGCGGCAGCGGGGGAGGTGACTCTAAGGTCAGCCTCGATGTCACCAAAGTCGGGTATCCTAGAACAGAGTAATCGGCAAGGCTGGCGTCAAACAATTTATTGATTTTAACAAAAGACAAAAAACAACAAAAAAGTAGGTTTTAGCCATTTTTTTGTTGCTCAACTGGAATCAAGTGGGAACCCTTTACTTGGCTAATCTAATGGAAATAAAACAGAGGTTTTGTGATGAATAATAGGAACTGAAATTGTTGCTGAGTAGTTGTTTGACCTGTGGTTATGAAAGGCAGAAACAATTTTTTCCTCTGTTTTTCAAATCCACAGGCCAACAAGGAACTTATTTTGTCTAAAACCAGCAGGGCTGAAGTGAATATTCTGATTTCCCCCGTACAAAGTCGAAACATAAAAGCACTCTCTGATCTGCCGCCTTGGTTTAGGGTAGGCACGGGAGACAGCGTTGTCTTGAGGGGACTAAGCAGCTCAGGCAAACGTGAGAATTCTAATGTCAGAACGATGACTAATTGGTACAGATTTTCTGAATTTATTTCTGTTTGTCTTAACATCCTCTCACGACCGACACAGATCTTTTCTCGGTCTTTCCGCCCTGACCTGGTAAGGTAAAGAAGTTGACCCCAGGCTCCATCAAAACAAAGGGACTTTGATTTAAATCCTTTTAAATCAGTGGTGGGCACAGTTCTGCTAATCCGCTAATAGTGGAACTAGCTTCTCATTTAGCAGAGTTGATTTTTTGCTAACTTTGCAAGTCATTAGCAGTGTTAGAAGCGTTAGCAACGGGAATGATGTCATCATCCTGCAATAAACATCAACAGTAATCGCTGCTAAAGATGCTGGAGATGGTATTTAATGTCTAAATTTAAAATGTGTTCATAAAAACAATATGGATGGTCAAGAAATTTGAAGTGTAGCTCAGACATCATCCATAACTGCAAGTTTGATGTCTTGTAGCAAAGTTTTAGCGGCATGTAAATGCTAGAACGTCTCAGGATGATGACATCATAACATGAACCGAGCACTAGCAGCAAAGGCTGCATGCTGTTCAAAAATTCCTAAATGTGAGCTTCAAGATGTAAGAATTAACTTTTACATTTAGATTTAATATTTAAATATATTTTTTAACATTTAAATTTAACATTTAGTCAAAATTAGCAAAATGTACGAACAGTGAGCTAAATAACAATAAAATGTCTGGAAAATGTTTAACACTCAAAAAGTGAGCTAAATAATGAAGAATATGTTGGTGAAATTTGTTTACATTTTATTTTACACTTGGCACCCCATATTAGCCTAGTCAGCTGCATGAGTTGRCGCCTACAAATTGGGACAGCCTACGGCGCATGGCAATGACTTAAGCGATCAACAGATGTGCTTTATATCAGCTGCAGTGTCTTAGTACAGTGGTTCCCAACATTTTTAGACTTGTGTACTCCCTGAGCCATTTTTGTCATACCACTAGTACCCCTTCAGTCAAACGTAATGATGATTCTCCAAAACTATAATGTACTTCAACTGATTAAATTAAAATTATTTATTTTACCCCCTAGAATGTTTAACTCTCAGGCATTTTTCCCCAACTCAAATTAAACACAAAGATAAAAATGTTGCCTCRAAAGTSAATAAGTAATTAAATAAATAAACCAGGTAATGGCAGGTGCAGAAAACAGCAGCGTCCAAARTACGTCAGAAACTCACCCAAATGAGCAAATTCCATGAGATTCCACATTTTATACTAGATTCCATTTTGTGTAAATTGTGATTCCTACTGCTATTTCTGCATTGCAGAAATCACAGGGCCCTACATTTCTCAGTCCGATTTTTATTTAATTTTTTACACACCTGAAATTTTTCCACGTACCCCCTGTAATATGCTTGCGTACCCAAAGTAACCCTGGTTGGGAATTATTGTCTTAGTAGTTGGCATTAATTTCAACTAATTTTTATTTATTTATTTATTTATTTGTTAAGTGGTTTAGCATTAGTGGAGCTAAGATTCCTGTTTAGGGTATTAGTGGATAGTGAACCAAAGTTTTTAGTTAGCTGTGCCCACCACTACCGTTAATGTTATTTCCTCAGAATAGTGTCCAGTTTTAACTGCATAGAAGTGTGTGAATTTACAATTTTTGCTATTGTTTGCTTATAATAAAGAAAAGTTACTTATTTTCAGATGAAATTGAAACCTTCAAGCATTTAAAAATCATCATCCTTATTATAATTTTATAATGTCACACTTTCTATGTTAAGCTCAGAAGATGGTTTAAATTTTAGAAGAGATTTTTTTAGCTATGAGCATGCATTGTACAATGCTGTGCAAATGTTTTAAATGACCTACTAATGTTTTTATACCCTGCTTCAGCAGACAGATTTTATTGTGGTCTTTTGAAGTGGTCCTGATCAAAGGTTGACCAGGTTTTTCCAAAGATCTTTTAAACATTTTTATTAAACGTTGGCTGCTTTTTCCACTCCTGACAGCATATTGATGAGCGAAAAGAGAGAGAGAAAAGTGGACCAAAAATAAAAACCTACAGAAGAGCAGGCAAACAGCCTCTGAAAGTCATGTCGGTAAGAAAAAGAAAATCAAGCAAAGGCCTGGGATCATTGACTACATGTCAAGTTTTCAGCTAATGGCTCCTGCTGGTGCTAAAATACTACTTTATATGTCAAACTGTTATCTTTGACAAACAGCAAACAGCTGCAGCCTCGTACACCTGTGCTTTTTCTACCTTTTCTAGTCAAAGCCTCAGGCCTCTCTACTCTGAGTTGTCTAATATGTGTCAACACGAATTTAATCTTTAATAGGTCAGAGTTAAGTAGAATGAAAAACAAACAGAAATGGTCAAAGCTGATAATAGGAGAAAAAAGCAGCCAAAGCTCAAAGAAAACTACAGAAAAGAACATTTATTATCTCTGTCTGCTTGGAAAGTTTTCAGAAATGAGGGATGACTCAAGACTTTTGCACAGTACTGTATGTGGCAGGATGATGTAGTATATTTTTATTTTCAGTATCTGTTCTCAGCTCTATAATCCTCCATGTTGTCACACATCATGTGACATTTTGACTTAAGAACAAACTTGTTTTTTTCTTTTTTAAATCTGAGGCGTCTGATGTTTTGTTTCAGACCTCWGGGTGAAGTGTCTCTGGCTTCATCTGTGCCTCTGCTCCTCTGCTGCATCATGACAACAGTACTGCACTGTTTTTAGAGGAGAGGCTAAATTTGATGTCGTTATCTCTGGACACCCACTCCTGAGTGAGCAGGTTGTGGATCCCGCCAGAGGAGTGACACAAAGACGGCTTCTCCTCTCGCTGCCTTTTCGCTCCAGTCAGAGCTCAGATGATCCCAGCTGACTGCCACATATCTGTGTGCTTATTTCAGCGACAGAAAAGCATGTGTGTGTAATTTAACAAAGAACGGAGAATATGCTGTATGTAATGACCACTGASACAACATATATAGAATTATAATAATCAGAAACACCTAAAAATCACATCTGCTCCAGTTTTCAGTAGTTTGACCTGAATCATTTCATCTCATTGTTTGTGGTTCTGTTTGCATGGGCTGTTTCTGTTAGTGTGTTGTGTATGTGTGTGTGTGTTCACACCGTTTTCCTGATTTTCAGACTGAAAGGTGAAGTTATGGTTGAAGACGCTGCTTGTTTTAATATTTAGATCAGCAGTTCTCAAACATTTACAGCTTTTTAGCCGCAAAACTATATGAATACTAGAAATATACTAAATATTTTACTGTAAAAAAGAACCTTATCAACCATTAGATTATCATTAATCTATGACCAAAGTTTTTATCTTTTAGTGGCACTTCATTAAAATGTCATTATTAAAGTTCATTTGGTTTTTCTACRTCTTAAGCAGCTCCAACTCCACCTCTGTGGTGTTTCATGAGCCACAGTGAGRTCATAACCCCAAGTTTGGGAAACATTTCTTTAGAGGCAGGTTATTATTCATAACTTTTATTAGAGTTTGATTTAGCTTGGGATCAAATTTAGGCTTCTTTTTTAACACCATGCTAATAATCTCACTTTAAACACTTTATACTCTGACACATCATTAAGACCTGAGCTGYAAAGTTACATTTTTACTTTATATGTGTATGTATAAATATATGAAGAGAGAGAGCGATAGAGCTAAAGGCGTTTTAGAATATTTTAACATACTCTCATCTGCTTATCTGTTTCCTTGAGGAAAATATGTTAAATATTTAGTCTTAAATTAATTCAGATTAGTCAGCTGGATGCATAATTAATGAATATTTACATAATTAGGCAGCGACCTGAGAGACTGTGGTTGTAAGTGAACAGAGGAGGTTGATGACTCTTTTTAACTAAAGTTAAACACTGAAAATAGCACCTTATATTTTTTCTCTTTTTTAATTGAGGATTATCATTTATTCAGATTTTGAGCRTAAAAAAATCCCTAAATGGATAATTCCTTACCTGTTTTGATTTAAATAAATGATACCATATAAAATATATATTTATATTGTGAACAACACTGCATAATAAATAAAATCTATCATATTTGATATTGAAATATTTATTAGAGACCAGGTACAATCATTCAGAATAATGTGAAAGCTGAAATATCCCAGCGGTAAGTGAAGACTTTCAGGAGCAATCAACAAATAAATCATCAACATGTTACGTTATATAGATTTACTATTTTTGATCCTGATGTAACAAAAAGTAAAATATTCTGTGTGACTCAAGTGAGTGAGTTTCAGGTTCATTCTCCAATCCTACAAATGGATAAAATTATTTTTTTTGTTAGTTAATCCTACAGAAAAGTATTTGATGACTTCCTGAAAACCCAAACAGTGTTCTGGATTTGATCAGAGGTCTGTTGTCACCACCTGGTGGTTTAAAGCTCCTCGTCTGATCAGCAGGTTGTTGCAGGTCTGGTTTGRCCTGAAACAGGGCTCCCAATCCAAACAAACATATATCATACAGAAAACCAAGACTCTAACCCCAACATTAACATAAATAGAACAAATAATGTACTTATTTAAAATTCAAATAATTACATCACAATGACAAGGGAAACAATGTATGCAGTATTAATAAACAACTACCATTACCCCTTCATTTGTGGGGATGCTGATATGAACTAATTGATTATAATTTWACCTGAAGATAAAATACAAACCCATTCTGTTGGATTGCATGAGCGAATCACTGAAACCATTTTCTCTGTTGAAGTCTAAAAGCTGCCATTTAAGTTTAAATTAAAATGTTATCAGGCATCAATTTAAGACCTAAATGCCCTGCACGCACACACATACACATCAAACCATCTTTATTTTGTTGTCTACCGATATCCGTTGGTAATTATCAGGAATCCAGCCCAGACAGAAAAGCCTCTCCTGGTTTAGCTACATCAGGATTTATTTTAAAGTCTGAGGAGAACCTGAAGGCATCACTGTGACGTTACAACTCATTCTGTTATGTTCTTGGTGTGGATGTTGCCTTTAAGTATCTCAGTGATGAAGTCACAGAATAACCATCAGTAATAGTTAATACTTTTAAATATTGTCGCTAAAATAATCTTATTCCACTTCAAATCTTTAAATGAATTATCTGCCTTTTGAACAMAATTTTTACCCTTTATTAGAAACTCAGATGTTTTGTACATGCAGTGGTGAATACAGTATATTTGATGATGTTAGATTACAGACAAATGCTTTTTCTGAAAGGAGACAAGCCTGGAAATCTTGCAGTCATGGAAACTGAGCATAATATCTTGTCTAACAGTGCCCCCCCTTTACCCGTAAAAACTTCTCTTTCCACCCGGCAGGGGTTTGGTTCGGTTCCTAACCAAATTTTCCCAACCCTTACCCGTCTGTTAGCTGCAGAGTCAGAAAAACCCCATCATTGGGCGGAAACACAAACCCATAAAGTCCTAAAACACGAGGAGGGGTGGACTCTACGAGACATTAACCTCATCACGTGTTTGAAAATCGATTGGACTGTCTGTTAGTCAGGGAAGGGTTCCTGTTAGATCCACTTTTCAAAGCATCAAAAAAAGGCTGCCGAAGGCCAAAAAGAAGTGCGAGAATCACCTCCGTTATTTCTACACTCCATTCTCTGCAGCAGCTGCTTCATTCTGCCAACTTTGATCTGTTCTCTGTGATCAGTGTGTGCCGATTACTCAAAGCGATATAGATGGGGTCTGGCATGTTAGGACAGCCATGGATGGTCTTATATGATGTAGTGTTGCTTGCTCTCTGTGACATGTTTGGCCAGGACCCTACTCTATCGCTTTGTACAGTATAAAGTAGTTGAAGCAGTTGAATAACATAAAATAACATAATACAATGTTATTTATGTTATTTCCCACGTGAAGAACTCCTGTAAACCTTGCAGTATTGAAACTCAGTGAACAAGGCATCTTAGACAAGCTGAAAAACAAATGGTGGTACGATAAGGGTGAATGTGGAACCAAGGACTCTGGAAGTAAGGTCAGTCGCTGCAGGTCTTTTTATAACTGATGGAAAAAATGCTTTGTAACTTCACTGTTCATGTGTAAAACATGTAAAGCATCTGACAATCATCTTATTTCTTTGAACACATATTTTGTGTACCTTTCAGAACAACACATAGAGGTTAACTCCACTGAAGTCCAGCTTATCGACACATCACTAACTCTGCAGACACTTAAAAAAGTGCAGCATGATCACAGTTTTCTTCTCACTCCATGACATTCTGAAAAGTCCAGAACTGAAACCATTACACTGCTGTTTTTATCCAAATGCTCATTGAAATTTACTTTAATGTTGGTCTTATTCATTTGTATGTTGAAAAAAATAACTTTTGACTTGGTACACTGGGTAGATTGTTGCAACAAACCTGCACTGGTTTGCAAATAATTCAAACCATATAAGACCATTTCGACCGTATATCAAATGTTATTATGTTAGAAGTCTGGTTTTATTGTGGATTTGTTCGGCTTAACAGTTAAGGCAACATGTTTTCAGCAATACTAATTTTATTATCGGCTGTAAAATTAGCAGACCTGCAACAGTGATTCCAAACTTTTCTTATTGAGCGGTTCCGCTCAACTGAGTTGAGTAGAGTGTAGGATTTTTTTTCTGAGTCAGCACAGCAAAATAAAACTCCTAAAATTCTGTTGTAACTTTAAGTTTTGGTGTATGAGTAGAAGATTATTGGTTGTCGAGGTGGTCCTGCAACAGGTCTGGGCGTCTCATTCAGGATCAACGGTGGGTAGGAGCAGGGTATGGATCGATGGATCTGAGCTTCAACCTCAGTATTGAGGATGTTGCTTCKGTCGGTGATGGTGAAGAGCGAGTTGAGTTTTAAGGCAAATACCTTTATTTTCATTTGGCTGGGCTTGGCCAGCTAGGATGAGGAGCTCCTTCATCTGAGTGGAGCTCAGATTASAGCCACAGCTCCTCCACGTYGAAAGTAGAGATGGGATGAATAGCAGTAAAGGGATCTCGTTAYGTAAAACTGTTCAAAAGAACCATTCAATTTTGAATGAGTTGTGTCATCATGAAGGGAAATCAGTCATCAGGTATGGTGTACAAGATGACATCATCCTATCACGTGGGCAGAACCACTTGTTTTCTCAAGCTGCCAATAAGTTGCAACAAAGAAATATACCAAACACATTTCCTTACTTTTGGGTTAAGTTGATTTCCACTCAATCCTGGGAACTCCTTAGGACTCCCAGGAGGAAAAGGGATGTGTAGTTTTCTTACCTGTTGATTCTTAGAACCCTTTTTTTTTTTTTTTTTTTTTTGACATGTCAAAATGTTTCGCTGCTGTTTTCCAACAGTCTCTGTAAGGACAAATGCTCCATGAACAAGCAGCAACCCTTTTCCAAATTTATATATTTTTAATTTAACAAAAGTATGGTTTAAATTATTTAAAAAATACTGCATCTAAATATATAATTTTTTAGCAGTTTACGCAGTGTGCCAACGTTTTTCAAAACAGGTGTGCTTTTCTCCGAGCTGATTTTACTCTGATTTTTCCAACCTGACCCACAAAAACCAGTTGGTGTCAAGAGTGAAAAAAAAACATAACTTTCTGCTAACTTTACACACCAGTTAGCAGAACTTTTAGTATGAAAAATATACAAATTTCATAGCTTTTTACATGGTCCCAACCGAGTTTTAATGCAAATGGTAAAACTCACGTAAATGAATTTCAATATTACTGTTTGGCTTTTAATAGCAGTAAAATGGTTCAGTTCGCTTTTTTACAGTTTGCCACTTTTGCCTGTGCAGATGCAGTGTTTGTAGGCTTGAGTTTAGCAGCTGTATGATAGAAAGCTGAGGAGATGTAGACCTGTACGACCACGACCGCCTTCCTTTACCCGTGGCCTCGTAAAGAGACCATAGAGCAGCATAGTTGGCACTTTACATTCACCTTCCAGCTCTTTACAGAGGAGGACTTAGAYACATTTACTGTAGCTTTTTGTTACTTAAAGGTCAAATTAAGCAGATATATCTCAGACAGTTTATGAATCTAGTAGATCAACCTCCTCAAAGTAAGTGTTTATGGTAGCGTAGCAGTGTATGTCCAGTTCTGTGCTTGTGTTGTGTTTTGTAGATTCACCTCCTCAAACTGTCCGTTCRAAATGTCTTAACGGTGGTCTCTGCCTCCCCCAGGACAAGACAAGTGCTTTAAGCCTGAGCAACGTGGCAGGGGTCTTCTATATTCTGGTCGGGGGGCTTGGCTTGGCCATGACTGTGGCTTTGATAGAGTTTTGCTATAAGTCACGGCAAGAAACCAAAAGACTAAAGCTGGCCAAGAACGCCCAGAATTTYAAGCCAGTCCCTCCGGCAAACACCCAGAATTTTGCCACGTACCGTGAAGGCTACAACGTTTACGGGACGGAGAGTGTTAAAATCTAAACGGTACGTAACACCTTGAAAGTCTTCAGTCAACATAAAAGTTTTTTTAATGATTTCATGACATTTTTGCATGAGATGCTTTGATAATGTAGTAAGAACTTTAGATGTTGATGCTGTTTAGTTTTGACCCAACTCTAACCTGAGAGCTCMGACTACAGACCACCACACTGACAGAAAAATCCTTTCCTTAAAACAGCTAATAGATGACAGTACTGATATCTTTGTAAGGTTTTTATACAGTAAATAGAGTACTGAGCAAAAAAAATACCCAATTTCTTCTGCTGTTGCCTCTAATGAATTAATCTTTTTAAGGGATCTTGATCAGTTCAAGTGTTCTTTGGGTTTTTTCAAAGGTTTGGCCTCTGGCTGCTTTTTCTATTCATTTGCAATGCTGTCCTTTTGAAAGACTATGACAACATTTCTCTTTACAAAAAAAATCCATTAAAGTTCCAAAACAGGACCTTAGAAAAGCATCATCCTTCAGTTGATCATCAAAAAACTGCAAGTGTTTGGAGTAGAAAGAAAAATGAACCTGAAGGTCAAATAAGAACCAATTTCCTTCAATTTCAAATTGTTTAATTATTGTGTATTTTTGTTATAATGGTGGTTCTTGGTATTCTCCAAGGTTGGCGCGTGTAATGAAAAGTTCTGGAAGAACTGATCAAGATCTCTGGAATGAAAATACAAACAAACAAGGGGGACTCAAGAATTTAATGCAACAGTATTTACACAAACTTCAAATTGGTCTCAACCAAAACTAGTGTTGTAGACCACCAAACCCAAGAYCAAGTCAAGACTAAGACCAGGAGGAGGGAGGGAAAATAAATGAATGAATGAATGGAATACCCATAGCTTACCTTTCTTTGTGGGTCCTTTCTAAGTGATGATAAAAGTTTGATGTAGTRAAGCACTGCCGAATTCTCCTRGATGTTGTTTTACAAATATGTTCAGAGATTTATGTAGCCAAATTGTTTAATGAAGATTTTGCAGACATCTTCTCCTGCTCCCAGACAACCATTGCTCCCTTTCTTGGAGAGATTTGAATCAGTACATTTTACATCCAACGAAAGCAAAGATGTTAAACAAATAAAMTGGRCAATATTCWGGAAAWTYTGTGATATTTTCACAGTTGTGGATTTGAAATAAAATCCAGAGTCCTCGGTGYCCGAGAGCAAGACAAGAATCCGAGATARGACCAAGACCATCAAAAAGTGGCCTCGAGACMAGTCTCGAGGACTACAACACTGCAATATGATCTCAACCTCATTCACATTAGTCTTATACCATTAGGTACAAACACACACAAACAAATACTTGTGGTTCTATCCTAATTAGGACCATTCATTGATTTCCATTAATTTCCAGTCAATTCTGGAGCCCATCTTACTCTAAACCTAACCACCCCTAACGCATAACTAACCCCCAACCCAAAAGTGGACTTCCACCATATTAGGACTGGTCCCCAAAAGGACAACTAGTCTTGACAAGGTAGGTGTTTGTATGAGAAGCGGTCTTAAAAAGGTAACACAAACCTGGAACACACACACAAACGGGCTTTTCTTTGATCGTTCTTTGTCTCTTGCACAGGTGGTTTGTGAATCGACCTGATGCGTCTGGAAACAGCCACTCTTTGTGACCCCCCTCCTCCCACCCCAAACACCCCGCCCCCAAAGGTTGGCATCGTGGAGGCGACAGCCTTGACATCAGCTCCGACACCGATGCCTACGTGTCAACAAGTGCTCATTTGTGGTTAACAAAGCCGTCACACTAACAGAGGGCAATGACGCAGCAGGACCTTTTGGGAATTGCCTCTTGTAGTGCCTTAAAGGAGCATTTTGGCGTCACGGCAATGCAACTAAAATTAAATTCACTTGAAGGAAATAAAACTAAACAATCGGTGGAGCTCGTGGAACTTGGACAAGAAACTGCATCAGATGACATGTGGATGAACTGTTGTAATTATTGTTTTATACTTTGGAAGAAAAAAAAGACAAAAAAAGCCATGATTTACAAACAAATCCCTGAGGTACTTAAAGTCATATGAATCCTTTAAAGACATATTTTTGTGGTGAAACCTTAAGTTGGATAAATATTATATTTAGTGAGGTATAAAGTCATTTTCTTGTTTTATTATAAGACTATTTTCAGTGTCGGAATATTTAGGACAAGCATCAATCAGTAATGTTAAGAATCCATCAAACTGGCGGAGTCGTGGTCCAGGTTTTACTCAGAAAAACTACAAAACATTCAACATGATGTTCAACCTTTGTATTTACTCATTTGTTTTAAATCAGATGTGTGATTTGTTTAAACTGCCACTATTTGAAAAATAACCCATTTTTTWAAAAAAATGAAGAAGTCTGCCTCTTATCACTTAGTGCCATGTTGTTGAAATCAAAAGAATGCTTGACATTTTAGGAAGACGACTCCCGTTTCACATCACAGAAAATCTAATGTTTTATCTGATCTCCTGGTTTACACTTTGTATGCGCTCCACTGACGCTCTCATTCAGGTGCAGTTTTGGTAAAAATTAACGCATCACAGCTTCTTCCGTTTTTGTGTGTTTTATGCGTTTTGCAGAAGCTGTACATCGAAGAAGAGCAACAAATCAAACGTTTGTAGAGGTAAACTTTTTATAATTCGAAGGAGGGGGAAAGAAAAATCTGAGAAATGCTACAAACTACGTGGCGACACGTCTTCTCCAACACACAGAAAAAGTGCATGTGAATCTGGTGATAGTTGAAACAATCTGCAACTCTAAATGGACTCGAGACGAACATTTTGGACCCAGTTTGGTTTTTAAGTTTTTTTTTCCCTTTTTTTTCTGATGGTACCTCAACCATGAGAGTTGCATGTATGGACACAAGAGGCCTCAGTGAGGAGGTGGTGTACAAAAGGATTTTATTACATTTCTTTAATAAAAGCAAGTTTATATTCATCTTTGGGACTTTTTTTATAGGTAACAAAAAAAACGAGACTTTTTCTAAAAGACTTGGACAAAGTGGGTTTAACTCAATGTAAGTGATTTCTAGTTGAGGCATTAAAATATGATCAGAAAAGGGTTTTTGGATCAGAACAAACAGCTCACAGCGATGGAGATGTAGCTGAGAGAGCAAAGATGAAAGGTTGAACTCATCAACCGCAAATATGGTAAACTTTAAAGGGGACAGATCCTGCAAAACCCACTCTTTTAACCCTTAAATACATTTTTCATACTTTTCAAAATAAAAGTGAAAAGGAGAAGGGAGTGGCTCAGGATGGAAAGATAACTTGGTTAAGGTAAAAAAAAAGAAAAAAAAAAGAAAAGATAAAGTTAAAAGTGCTGTGAGATCAGGTCTGGATGTGTAGCGGACTCAGTGGCTCAGCAGGAACGTCCAGGACCAGAAGACACCAGTGCTGGAGAACATTCAAATCCTGCCTGCAGAAGGATCAACAACAGTCCAGCTGATGGGGGACAGGAGGCTGTCTCTCCTCCCTGATGTCCACGCACACAAAACCAGGGGGTGTTGCTGACCATGTCTTTCATTCTGAACTTCAACACTCCTCATGTAGGCTCCAGAATCACATCAGACTGACTCAACATGGACTTCAACGCATTAGGGAACAGCAGAATTAAACCACACCTGTGCTTTGATGTTCTGAAGGACATTATTCCACAAACTTTGCTTTTACACCAACAAACACCAAACAAGACGAGTCAAACTTCATCTGAATTTGTTTGTTCAACTTGTAGAAAATGTCAGAACAGGAGAGCACACTGACGTTGCTCCAAACTAAACTCTCAACTTATTTAAGCTTCCAGACAGGAAATGTTTCTGTTTATTGAAACATTTGAAAAACCCCTTCAAACACCAATCATCTCTCTGATCTATCAATGGCCTGAACACATGTTCCTGCAGTTAGGAGCAAAGTGATCATGTTCTCCTCCACATGTTCTGCTGGATGTTCAGCAAACAAACTCAGATCCAACCTTTAACTCAAACCATCTCTGGAGCTTTCAGAGTTCTAAAGTCTGCAGCTCCGGCTCTTTATCATCATTTCCACACATTCAGTCATTTTGATCAGATAGAGTCCAAATCAAGAATTGTATTCAAGTGCAAGTTACTCACGTTTGCTGCAGGTCCTCCCATCCATCCAATCCAGACTGTCAAACAGGAAGTGCAGGAAGGTAGGTAGGGAGGGGGCGGGGCTACTTCAGTCATGCAAAAAAGTCAGCTCAAATCAGGATGAGTTTGATCCAGCCCACCCTGCTCACTTTGATGCTGGTTATTAGCTGAACTGAGGATTAGGTTTGGGTAATATTGGCAAAAAAAAATTAATCACGATTAATTGTGGTATTTAGCTGATAATTAATTTGACGATTAATCCCCTGGAGTCCCTGGAAACCCACATGTCCTGGTCACATGACCAATTTAGTGGGAAAGATTTGCTCTTCATAAAAATCTGTTCGATTGTGTCAAAATTAGACTTCAGGCTATACATTTATTTTTAAATTTGATAAATAAATTACAGACACTTTTTAAAAATGTTCATATTTGAAGCAGAGGAGCACCAAGCAGACTGCCTGGTGATATTAATCGTCAAGTGCCAAAGAGTAATCGATTGTTTTTCTGACAATTAATTGCACAAGATACAATTATGCCCAACCCTACTGAGGATTAAGTGAAATGTGGTCAAAATCACCTTCACACCTTTTCAGATTTCTGCTTTTAAAGCTACATTTTGATCAACCAGATATGAGATACCAGAGATATATGTCTTGTCTTCCTAATCCAGATAACTCCAGGATAACTCATTGACTTTTGGTCTGAATCCTATTTTTAGGCTGTTCTGAGAGACTTTTGATGTTATTTTAAAGAATAAACCCCAAAAAGTATGTGAATATTAATATTTATCAGCTGTAACGGAAAAAAATTATTGGCTCGCAGGAAAAATATTAAAATTTCTGCTCAAAATCATGCTTTCTTTCTTTTTTTTGCAGCTACTGCTCAAGAAAGGGCTTCAAAAATTCCTTATATTTCAGATATTTTAAATGATCCATAGATAAGGAGTTGTGCAATTCACTACAGCTGCCTGTATCCTCAGCTCTGTGACAAGAACTGAGATGTTAAAAGGACTTCTTGTACATGTGGACATTATTACCGTAGGTCTGATTTTTTGTTTTAAGCCAAGCTAAGGTTTGTTTAATGCTGTTATAAATGTTTCATCTGGAATTTAAAGAAAGCAGAACAGTTTTCTTCAGAAGCTACACAGAAATTAAAGAAACTTAAAGCCTGTAGATCAGCTCAATCCACATCGCCCTCCTGCCTCTAAACTTCAGACATCTTGTGCTGAATGTACATCCAGTTATTCCTTTACTGAGATTATAAAAAATATTTGGCATTTTATGAAATATTTCACTAACGTGACAAACAACACTTGCAAAGAAAAGAAAAAACCTGATGTGTGAAAACGTTAGTGTTGCATTTTAATGTTAAATCTGCACTAGAAAGTATTTATATGTGACAAAAAATAACCTTCAGTTTAACTTATTCCCAGTTTGAAGAAAATAAAAAAGGAGACAATATTAAAGTGACACTAAGAAAACTATTATTTATTGGGTTTCTTTTTTTTTTTCTTAAAAAAAAAAGGAAAAAAGAAAAGAAAATACACTCATTGAGTACAGCAGATAAAATCTCCAAAGGTCGTTTCTGAAACTGTTGAGTTTGGAGCACAGAATGTCAGAAATTGTTTCAGATTATTTTCTTTACATTTCTACATGTGAACTTTATGTTGAACTGACACTTTAAAATAAATTTTGTAAAAACCTGAATAACACAGAAATCACAAAATTGTATGGGACATCAAAAAAAAAAAAAAAATGGGAAGAAGCAACATGATGTAAGTTTCATGTTACCTCCTTCATTAATATACACAATATACAAACTGGTCCGTTGTGTTTCCCTCACCGCTGTTTTAATCTGATTAAAAGGAGATAAATAAATAAAAGTATCTCAAAAAGGATGTGAGGTAAGTGAGTCAGAAAGCACACTGAATCCAATAAAATGAGCAGAGAAGCGAGGCATGACAATGTACAAAAAAATAAAATAAAAATAAATCACTTTCAAGCACGGGATTATTGAACCGATGACCAAAAAATATTTTATATCAGTAACCACATTTCTGTCAGAATAACACTGTGATTACAGCAGCAAGTTGTGCCCATACTGAAGAAAAATAGGAAAGAAAATACATTTAGATTTCAGCTGATGTGAAATGGAGTATTAACAACAACTACTGACGGGAGAAGAGAAAATAAACACACGCCTATGATGTGCTACAGATGGAGTTGATGTCTTGCAGATAAAATCCGGTTCTGTTCGGAACAAAGACAAAAACATCAGAAAGTTCTAAACTGATGAGTGAATAGAAAACGCAGCTGGATGGTTCTTACCTTTACTGATCGGAGCACATTATCTGTGCTTGTCAGACGATTTATGAGTGCGACTGTTAAGAAAATCCTGAAGAAACAAAGAAACTCAACTCCTGATATTTCATTTCTTCTAACAATTTGTTTCATTCCTTTAGAGGAAATGACCCAAACATTAATACTTAAACCCTCTGGAGTTCGGGGTGAAACTGGACATTTGAGTATTTAACATTTTAATTTATTAAAATATGTTGGGTTTACTTTGGGCTCGAACCGAGTGGGATTTTTTGAGCCCTATCTAAACTTTACCTAAAATCACACAAAAATCCAAGTCTGGGTAATTATTTTTTTTGATACTCAACATAAATTGTTTTTACAACTTAGAAAGTAAATATAAAACACTAATATTCAAAAACCTGTACAAATTTAGCAACAAAGCTGCATGTTTCTTTTTACCTCCTCCTTGTTTTGAAGCTAACTCACTAAAACTGACTAAACTGAAAACTAAAACACACTAACTACACAATCCAAGCATATTAAATGCCATACTTCTATCAGCACCAGACTTCATTCAATTTTCGCATCTTCTTATTTTCTTCTTCTGTAGATTGACCGCTTGACCAATAACTTTGGGCCTCGATTAGGAATTAAGTCAGGAAGTTTTTTTTTTTTTCAGCTCAGGAAAATAATGAAACTACGGTGGATTGTGGTGTTATTTTTCATGAGATTACTGTTTCCTGCTGCCAGCCGTTGTAATGGGAGAAACTAGGTCATTTTCAAAAAATAAAATAAAATAAAATAAATAAAGGTGCTGTGTATGCTATTTATCATAACTCCAGTTTTATTTGGCCTATCAACACAATTTAAAAACTGATTAAAAGATTGAAGTCTCTTCTTTTGACTCAAATTGAACCAGAGTCTTAGAGAGATCATGTCTTTCTGGTTGGAGCAATTTGAATGTGTCATGTGACTAGGAGGATGTGCTGGTGTGTCCAGGGACTCCAGAGGGTTAACTGATGACGGGTGAAGAGATTCATCTAAAACAGGTGCAGTTTGACTTGATGAAGAGAACCAGAACAGAAATAAGAACTACTCAAACGAATTATTGAAGTTTATACAAACTACTTGAATTGGATGGAATCTCACAGCAACATTGACTGTTCCGAGTGTGTTGATGCACACAAAAGATAAGAAATTAAAGAATAATTTTAAGGAGGGGTAAATGTACAGATGCTGCTGCTCTGGTTGGGAGGTGCAGAAGTTCTGTAACTTTACGGTTAAGGATATTGTTTTTTCTCCTCCTTCCCGCCACTGCTGTCCCTCTTCTCTTTCTTCTCAGACTTCTCATGTCGAGACTCCTGCAGCACAAAAAAACAAACAAACAGGGGGATAAGTTAAATGGGGGGAAAAAAAAAACCCAGAGCGGATCAGCCTGAACCTCTACAAACAAGCGCACCTTTTTCTCTCCAGAGGACAGGCGCTCAAGTTTCACAGACTCGGCCTTCTCTTTGCTGGAAGGTTTGGATCTT